TTGAGATCATCAGCAGTCAAGTACAGGTTTGAGGAGGCAGTCTTGTGGTAGAGGTTTGGAAATCTAACCACATGCATTAAGCAGAAACACCCTACATGTGGCTGTGTTTCCAGTTCTAGCAAACTAGTAAAGTTGTTTTGTGGTTACATTTCAACTGATTGCTTTCCCTTGTCTTATTTTAGTAACTCTATCCCCTCATTTTAAAAGAGAACAGACTTAATGGGATTTTTGGTACTTTAGCATTTTACATATTAATTTAGAATATCTGCTAGTCACTTATTTTTATCCAGCACATAATAAAAAAGATGCACAATAAAAATTCATAACATTTCACACAAGTTCATATTGTTTCCAAGGCATTGCCTTTGTTTTAAATATATCTTCCATAAAGAATACATTTAACATAATGTAATATTCAAGCAGGTACAGATCTTTTAGACAATATTACAAAGAGAAGAGGAGACAGCACAAAGAGCCAATCAGATGTGCTGCATGCACAGACAGAGCATGCTCACAGGAGTAAAGAGCAGTATGAGCAGATGTGTGTTGCTACTTCAATGTCCAATCACAGGCTGAGGGCGAGGAGGTGATTAAAAACTGTTTGTTCACAAACCTAAGCTTTGAAGATTCTAACAAACCTTGCTGTGTTGTGTGGCACGGCTGAGCAAATCTCTCAGAACTGGATGGGCAGAAATACAAATCCTTTGACATGTAAAAGAAACATCCATAAATTTATTCCAACTGCAATCCCCAGCCCCTAAGAAAAAAAAAAGGTACAAAAGTGTAGGCATCACAGCTTCCTCTGCACTAGGGCTAAATTCCAAGCCTTTCTGAATGGTAGGGTTCCAGAAATTCCTGTTAGTGTTGATACATGCCTGCCCCCTCAATCAAAATGATGGGCCAAAAGGAATGAGTGGAAAACAGGCTGAGCAGGAAGGCATCAACACCACAAAAAATGTCAGAGGGTTTTAGAACTACTTTGGATAAGACCATAGTGTTAGGGACTTCTACAGATATGTGCTAGCACCTTATTCAGTTTTTCTTCCATGTTAAATTAGCAGGGGATGCTCCAGGGATGGGGGGAGGACTTAAACCACCTCATGATCAGAGCAAGTCTTGCACAGTATAGGGTGTCCATAATGCATTTTGGAAAACACTGTCCAGTATGCACCAATCACAGTGTGACCCTTGCATCAGGTTTCTTATGTCCTGCTCTAGTAAAGATACAAAGTAAGCTATATTCAAAACACATGAGAGAGTCAAAGGTAACTGCTTGATGCAGATAATATGCAACACTAGAGACTCACTAAAAGGAGGAGGTAACTTGTCTGAAACTGTAAACTGCCCACCAAGTTAGTGGAATTATGGCTTTATAGAATTCAGTCTAACAGACTGAAGCCAGGGAAAGACAGAAAAAGAAAGTCTACCCTCCAAGCAACCACACTCCACTGCTCCACCCAAAGGCACTATCTTTTCCTTGACCATAGTGGAGGCAGGAGCTTGGAAATCTCTCTACATGGTCCAAGCATATGACACCCTAAAAGAGAAAAACCTAGACTGAAGAATATTGCTTGCTTTTAGTACCTTTGGACATGAATACATTGAAGATTAGAGCAGAACTTTAAAGTGGAACTAAACCCCTCGATTTAATGATTTATCAAAACAGTTATATTTGAGGCATGCCATGAATTAGAACTGTCACAGGTTGCTTGTGCTCTTGACCAAACTGTCAAGGCATTAAACGCCTGGTGTCATAACTGATCACACATGCAGCATTATGGCAAATGCGAATCAAACAGGCTAGGATGTCAGCTTTCTTGGCTTCAAAGTATAAGCACGTTTAGTTCCGTTTCATGAAATGGAAAACTGAGGTTATATATACAGTGAGGAATAGAAGTATTTGAACACCATGTGATTTTGCAAGTTCTCCCACTTAGAAATCATGGAGGGGTCTGAAATTCACATTGTAGGTGCATTCCCACTCTGAGAGACAGAAAAAAAAATAATTCAGGAAATCACATTGTATGATTTTTAAAGAATTTAGACCTGTTACTGTGCCTTTAAAAAGTCCACCTCTACTCCACTCAATCTAACTTAGTAGCACCTGTCTGAGCTTTTTAAAGACACCTGTCCACCCCACAGTCAGTCAGACACCAATTACTACCATGGGCCAGACCAAAGAGCTGTCAAAAGACACCAGAGACAAAATTGTGGACCTCCACAAGGCTGGAAAGGGCTAAGGGGCAATTGCCAAGCAGCTTGGTGAAAATAGATCAACTGTTGGAGCAATTGTTAGAAAATGGAAGAGGCTAAAGACGACTGTCAGTCTCCCTCGGACTGGGGCGCTATGTAAGATCTCACCTCGTGGGGTATCACTGATAAGAAAGGTGAGGAACCAGCCCAGAACTACAAGGGAGGAGCTGGTCAATGACATGAAGAGAGCTGGGACCACAGTTTCAAAGGTCACTGTCGGTAGAACACTACGTCGTCATGGTTTCAAATCATGCATTGCATGGAAGGTTTCCCTGCTCAAGTCATCACATGTCCAGGCCCGTCTGAAGTTTGCCAATGACCATCTGGAGGCATGAGAGGAGGCATGGGAGAAAGTCATGTGGTCAGATGAGACCAAAGTAGAACTTTTTGGTCTAAACTTCACTCGTCCTGTTTGTAGGAAAAAGAAGGATGAGTTGCATCCCAAGAACACCATCCCTACTGTGAAGCATGGGGGTGGTAACATCATGCTTTGGGGGTGTTTTTCTGCGAAGGGGACAGGATGACTGCACTGTATTAAGGAGAGGATGAATGGGGCCATTTATCGTGAGATTTTGAGCAACAACCTCCTTCCCTCAGTCAGAGCATTGAAGATGGGTCGTGGCTGGGTCTTCCAATATGACAACGACCCGAAGCACACAGCCAGGATAACCAAGGAGTGGCTCTGTAAGAAGCATATCAAGGTTCTGGAGTGGCCTAGCCAGTCTCCAGACCTAAATCCAATAGAACATCTTTGGAGGGAGCTGAAACTAAGTGTTGCTCAGTGACAGCCCCGAAACCTTACAGATCTAGAGGAGATCTGTGTGGAGGAGTGGGCCAAAATCCCTGTTGCAGTGTGTGCAAACCTGGTCAAGAACTACAGGAAACGTTTGACCTCTGTAATTGCAAACAAAGGCTTCTGTACCAAATGTTAACACTGTTTTTCTCAGGTGTTCAAATACTTATGTTCAGTAGTGCAAGACAAATAAATTCTTTAAAAATCATACAATGTGATTTCCTGAATTTTTTTTTAAAATTCTGTCTCTCAGAGTGGGAATGCGCCTACAATGTGAATTTCAGACCCCTCCATGATTTCTAAGTGGGAGAACTTGCAAAATCGCAGGGTGTTCAAATAGCAGGTCTGTTCCTCACTGTGTGTATATATATATATATATATATATATATATATATATATATATATATATGTAAAATCTGCCTCAAGTCCAATTTTAATGTGAACGATTATATCAGTTTAACCATTTCTGTGCCACCATTCATTGAAAAAGACAGCAGTGGTGGCCTGTTATTTACACTGTGCTGCTTATAAATGGTACTGGATAAAGCACAATCGGGGTTGCTGTGCCCATCATGGCCTTTGCACTGGGCCATCCTTGGATGGCTTGGCTCACAGACACTGTGTACAGAGCCAGTCTGACTGTCTCTGTACCTTGATCGCTGTGACTGATTAGACCAAAAGTGCAGTGTTTACATCTGAGAGCGTGCCCTTTCCTCTTGCAACAGAGGAAGGGGAAGAATCAGGAACTAATGAATGGTTAGGAGTATTGTCCTATATGCCACTCTGATTTAGTTTAACTTTATTACTAGAGCTTGAAGCAGGAGAGAAGAATGTCAGGTTCTAGGAAATAAATTAATCCATATTGGAAAGGAACACGATAAAAGCTAAAAAGGAAATAGAGGCTTTTATTTTTAAAAGTTAAAAAGGGAGCATGGCTGGCATTAGGTGTTATACAACTAGTTTCCAACTTTAAAAAACACTTGCAAGTGAGTAAAGGACACGTGTTGCGAATAGAAAAATTAATAATAAACTGTATTCAATCTGTACTATACATAAAACCAAACTAAAGGCAAACTGCTAAATACACATGTAAATTATTTAAACTATAAATGATTTTGTATTCCTGTGCAGACACTTTTGTGATTAATGCCAGACAATACAGCAGGAGGTGACACCACTTTCCCCCATTACAGTTAAAGAACACAATAGCAACACCTTCCAACCCACAGGCCGCTAACTGGGCGATATCGAAGCAGAAACTCACAGGTAAGCCATCACATATACAGAATCAAATTCTTATGTTAAATGTGAAACATAAATGTCATACCTGTGTCAGAGTAGTACATTACTTCATTATTTTTATAGTTAAATCAAATTAAGAAATACATCTTTAAAGCCCAAATGAAGTCTCACACCTTTTTATCTCGGAAAAGTCCTGTACCTCTGAATGTTATGATCTGTAACTAATTTTGGCTTGGAAAGGTCTTACCATTTCCTCTCTGCAAAAATGCTGCTTCTTACATTTTCACTCCAGTGCTCTATGCTGGTATAGTGGAGTAACAGACACCCCCTCAATCCCAGACTTGTATTGCAAAGGAAGAGAGTGTTGTGCCAGGTCTGTTACTGAATGCTGAAAGCACCTGGTCTAACCCTGGTATCTATTGGGCTGCATAGTCATATTTAAATACTCTGCATAACTGCTGTAACAGAGAAATGAACTATGAAAATTAAGGTTGTCGATACAATGTTTATCTAACTGCATACAGTATTTATTTCTGTGACTTCAGTTGGGTTTTAAATTAATAATACTGAACATCAAGTGCAAAACTAAGAAACATATATAACACAAACCCAATGGTCAAATTAAAATTTTTTTTTTTTTTGTAAGTTAATGATTTTAGTTTTTTTTAAAAGGACGAAAAAGTCTTGGACAGCGGAATGCAGGAAACAAACACCATGCAAAGCTTAAGAGAAACAGGAAGAGGCGGAAAATGTAGCTCACAAAGCGAATAAAAAGAGAAGAAGATGTAGGTCTTTCTTGAGTGCAGTGTTCAAGAACCAAAGAACACACTGACCTGGCTTTGGAGATTAACGTGCCGTCTTTTTCACTTACAGCTTGGGTACCTTTACTATCTTCCACTATTCTGACTCTTTTCCGCTGTTGTGGAACACTGGAGGACTTATCTGGACTTGTTGACCCAGAAGATGTGTCTTGGTTAATACACGGTGTCTCTTGAATGGGATTAGTGTCAATCTGCATTGAGAGTTTTGCATTTTCTTTTTCTTGAATTGTGTTAGGCGGTAAATCAGCATTGCTGGTGAGATCACAGTTTAAACTGCCTGTAGGTTCAGGAAGGTCATCAGTTGGAAGCTGTTCTCTTCTTCGTTTCTGTGTCCGCAATTTAATTATTATTTCTATAGCACAGTGCATAAAAATAATAATAGGTATTAAAAAAAAAGAAAAGAAAAAAAAACACTTGACAACACCTTTTCCCACTCTAGTTAACCTGCTTACCCTTTTGAAAACTCTCAATTATTCAAGGATCTTTCAGCCCTATTTCTTTCAGTTTTAATTATTGCTAGTTGTCATGGGTAATCTACATACCAAACAGCACATGGCAAATTAAATTTCTCTACTAGCCTGACCTTGTCTGCCTGCTGAACACTACACAGTAATACCATGGCTGAGGCAGAATCATCTCAATAAAAAAACAAAAACAAACAATCGTTTACATTTCTGGAATTATTATGCAGTGTAGTTTTAGGATACGCAATAATATTTAAGGTTTTGTTGTTTTTTAAAATAACATGTTATACTTACATGCTCTGTACAATGGTTTTGCACAGAGCAGCCCCAATCCTTATCTTCTCAGGTCCCCTGCCACCACTCCTGGCTCCTCTCCCTTGACCAGTGCCCCCAATAGCAAGCCGCTTGCTTGCTTCTGAGCCCCGCTCTATGCGTCCATATGACACAGAGCAGTGGCTTGGCCCTGCCCCCACTCTCTCCTTATCAGCTCACTGGCCTTGATTGTCAGCAGTTGGAGCTAATGGCTCTCACTTCTGTCTCAGCCAATGAGAGAGAGATCTGGGACAGCCAAGGCTCCCGTGCACAGCGCTGGATCGAGAGGGGGTTCAGGTGAATATTAGCGGGGGGCTGTGGGGGGAAAAGCACACAGAAGGTTTTTTTACCTTCATGCGCAGAATGCATGAAGGTAAAACCACTTACAACCACTTGAATATAAAGCTTTAATGCTTTGTCCCCCACTCCCAATTAAGGATTGGTATCTTTGGGGAGCGGGTACCCAAATTTGAGAGGTACCAGCCCCCACTTCCACTGCGATCACCTAGGCGATCAGAAGTAGAAGTTGTCCTCCCTCCCTCCCCGTAGGCTTCTGGGACACGTGACAAGTCCTAGAAGACTACGGGGCCATTCACAAAGCGCAGCGCTTCTCGTGCATGCGCAGTGGGCACCCGGCTGTGAAGCCTCAAGCTGTCACAGCTGGGTGCCCACACTAAAGATGCCGGCGCCAGGGAGAGAAGACTGCGGGTGAAACCAGCGATGGTGAGGACACCGCTGGACCGAGGGACAGGTAAGTGGCTGTATTTTAAAAGTCAGCAACCACAGTTCTTTAATAAGTTAAATGTATAAAGACATATAAAGCTAATCATTGTCTTTATTCCATTTCTATTTCCACACCTGATGTTTGTTGTGGATGTGGTTTCTTTTTCCCTTTTTGTAATAACCCAATCCCAAAAAAGCAGGAAGATTTAGATCATATCAGTAGGTTTTAAACTTTATGGCAAGTTCCATGAATCTTGGATAGACACTTACCACAATTTGCTTTGCAGTTTAAAACAACATTTGCCAAAAAAAAGCCTGTTTTTTTTTTTAAATGAGATTCATCTGGAGTCTTACGTTTCACTTTAAGAAGAAGCTAGTCATAAGATACAGTGAGCCGCCACTGATGATCTTCTAGAATGCTAGTTCTGCCGATTGCATGCTTGTCAGAAGACTTTTATAATTTTCCAGTGCACTTACCCAGAATGTGTATGAAGCAAGCAAAATCATAGGATCAACATGACAGACTGGAAACCTTGATATTAAAGCAAGAGTAATATTTCTTGCCTAACATTTTACATCATGGGTACATAGATTGACAACTTTAGCACAGTCGAGCAAGATTGGAGCATATGAATCCTAAAGTCAATCCTTAGGATCGATGTCAGGAGCCCTGGCACGGATTAAACTGCCACAATAACAAAAAAAAAAAAAAAACAAAAACTGCTTCCTCACGTCACTACATACAGGAGAAAAAGTTGGCAACAATAAAAGCTGGCTCTCATTTGCGTATGAAAGCCCCTGGAATCTAAGGTTCCTGGAGTACTCCTAGAGTGCAGAGTCTACATCTTATTTTGGATTCTTTTTAAAGCATCTATGAAGCCCTCAATATTTGGACACCCTGTTATATGAAACACAACAAGCTATGAAGGTTACCAGGTGCGGCCAGCCCTCATCTGGCTTTACAATACAGGGAAATACAATAGAGCAATAGTCGTAGATTAAAACCAGTGACAAGAGGAGCTACTAGTTGCGTATTATTTCCCACTTATTCAGGGCACACTACAGAAAATTGTCATAACTGTCAATCCACAGGTATAGTAAACAAGATTTGCAAACCCTCCTATCACCAATGAAGCTGTATGACTTCTCCTTCCCCTCCCTGTTGAGGAGAGGAGGACCAAATATAGAAAAATATATATTGACAAGGCATAGCAAGACACAAACTATTCAACTATACAGCCTGATACAGAGTTAACAGACTAAATTATAGTACCATCAGGTTCGTATTTCATTTTCAGTTCATCCAAGCTGACACGTAGTTTCATGTTTTCACTCTTGGAAAGCTTAAGATGCCTGTCATTTGTAAATAGCTTCCGTTCAAGTTCTAACACACGTTGGCTTTCTGCTAATGCTTTCATCCTTTGCAGGGATAATTCATCCTTCAACTTCTCCATCTCTTTACTGCAAGAAAAAAAAAAAAATTATTTTAACATAAACTAATTTACTGTCAAGTTACATTTTGGTCATGTTCATGCAGGATATAAACATGCATTCGTATGGCTATTTTGACAATGAGTACACCAATTTAGAGTACCGTATTTTTCACTCCATAAGACGCACCTGACCATAAGACTCGCCTAGGTTTTAGAGGAGAAAAACAAGAAAAAAAAATATTCTGAACCAATGGACTGCAGACATAGTACAGGAAGTGAACAGACACTGCGGACACAGTACAGGAGATGGACCAGACACTGCGGACACAGTACAGGAGATGGACCAGACACTGCGGACAGTACAGGAGATGGACCAGACACTGCGGACACAGTACAGGAGATGGACCAGACACTGCGGACACAGTACAGGAGATGGACCAGACACTGTGGACACAGTACAGGAGATGGACCAGACACTGCGGACACAGTACAGGAGATGGACCAGACACTGCGGACACAGTACAGGAGATGGACCAGACACTGCGGACACAGTACAGGAGATGGACCAGACACTGCGGACACAGTACAGGAGATGGACCAGACACTGCGGACACAGTACAGGAGATGGACCAGACACTGCGGACACAGTACAGGAGATGGACCAGACACTGCGGACACAGTACAGGAGATGGACCAGACACTGCGGACACAGTACAGGAGATGGACCAGAGACTGCGGACACAGTACAGGAGAGGAGATGGACCAGTATGGACCATACACTGCGGACACAGTACCGGAGATGGACCAGACACTGCGGACACAGTACCGGAGATGGACCAGACACTGCGGACACAGTACCGGAGATGGACCAGAGACTGCAGACACAGTACAGGAGATGGACCAGAGACTGCGGACACAGTACAGGGGACACTGCGCATGCGCGAGAAGCGCTGCGGTTTGTGAATGGCCCGACGTGTTTTGGGACCTGTCATGTGTCCCAGAAGACACCGCACTATTCACAAAGCGCAGTGGGCACCTGGCTGTCACAGATGCCGGGGCTGGAAGAAGCCGGCACAGGAAGACTACAGCGTTGGACCTAGGAACAGGTGAGTTCCTGCCGCAGATAACAGCTGAGCGGCCGGCCCGGTATTGACATGGTGGCGGCGAAAATACCGGACCGGCCGCTTTACAGTCGCTCCATAAGACGCACTGACATTTTCCCCCCTTTTTTGTGGGGAAAAAAGTGCGTCTTATGGAGCAAAAAATACGGTATGTGCCCATTTATAAGAGAGATAATATTACCATCTGCTTTTAGCTGAATCCAGCAGTGTTTACTCCACACCATACCTGCATTTTACGTACCATTCATAAAATGCACACCAAGCTGTAGAAACGGATGCGTCCCTCAGAGTGTTGTTGGCATAAAGCTGCAACCAATATTCATGATTAGGCTTGTCAGTTTGATAGGTTATGCCACTGGGCTCTTCCTCCCCCAGCAAATGCTTTCCCTATTAATTTAAGGGCACATTTGTACAGCACAGCGTTATGCTTTATAAATGTGCCATTGTGTGTTTTTTCTTCTTTTTAAGGTCATATCATTGCCTTATGAACATACAACTTTTATCTCAAATGTCTTAGACATACTGCAGAATAAGCTACATTTATTTTTTTGCACGTTGTTTTCCAAGTAGGAGTTCAAAGAATGCATACACTTTAAAAGACTACAGACCTGGACTGCTCCAGTTTCATTTTCAGTAAATCCACATAATAGACGTCATCACTCTGGAGGACAACATGCGTATTAATGTTTGCTGTATTTTCACAATTTTGCTGCGAAAGAAAGAAAATATTAGAAACACATTTAGTATGTGAAATATTTTTAAACACAAGAGTTCCAAAAACAAGTTTTTGCAGCATACGAATGATTGCAATGTAGCTGGATGATAATCTAATATACAGTATTTAGTATGAATAATTGCAAATAGGCACACTGGAAAATTTCAGCCAATTTTGTATTGTACAGTGCTGATTCAAGGGAAAAAACCATCAAAGAACATATAAATACTGCCTACACACACACACAAACTTTTAAATTTTAAAAAAACACAAGTAGTAACAACAGTTGCACATTGTCAGAAAATGCAGTGCATTGAAGGACACAGTTTAGAAAGGATCTTGACTGTGGGGTTATAGCACCACCTTTAGGAGTAGAACACTAGACAGGAAAAAAAAAACAAAACAAAAAAACACAAAAACACAGCACTGCCTATGGGCAGCCCTTACCAGTGGCCAAACCCTGCAATACAAGCAGGTCAATTAGTCACAAAGCAGTACATAAACAATATCAGAGGGATGGGAGTTATATCTTTCAATGAACTCAGAGAAAAAGGATGTTATATTGAGTAGAGATAAAAGAAAATCAAATTTTCTTTAAGTTCACAGCTTAATAAAAATCTTCATCACAAAGATGTCACAAAGCAGTAACAAATGAGGGATGGGAGACCAGAGGCCAAACATGCAATCCAAAGAAATCCCCTGGAAGGGAACCAGAACCCCAAACTGCCGCCTGCAAAACCTTGCAGCTAAAAAAGACACAACAAACGACAGCCAACCCAAAGCTTGAAGCTTGGAAAAGGTATGGACAGACAACCAGGAAGCAAATGCGCAACCCCAGATATGCTGCCTAATGCTGAAAAGTCTGAGGCGCACTAATCTCCCAAGTGGAGTGTGCTGTGACAGGAAGCCTGACCACTAACGGCATAGGCTTGAACAAGAGTCTGTCAGATCAAATGCAAAATTGTGGTAGAGGAAGCTGCCAAACCAGTATGCGACCCATCAGAAAGCAGAAAGAGGAAGTCCGACTTGTGGAAATAGGCCATAAAAAATAGATACCAGAGCCATCAGATTGGGGAGAGCCTGACAGACTGTCCCGCACGAATCTGTCTGTGCAACAATGAACTGACATTTGTCCCATTTGGTCAGTATTTCTTTCTGCAAAACTTGAGCAAGGAACCGCACATACAAAACCGCCTCTAAGGTGGAAACCATGAGACCCAACACCTGGCCTGCATCAAGACCAGAATCAGGCCCAGATACGCCAACCGAAAAGTTGGGAATCAGAGAAGACTTCTAGAAATGCAGGATCCAGCAGCATGCCATCTGTGATCATCCTTAAGAGAAGAAAAAAAGATTCCACCCAAAGAACAAGATCATCCAGACAGCCCTCCATGGAAATCCCCTGCAATCCCAGCACCTGGGTACTACCTGTGGGGGAAAATGCCTGACCAAAAACCGCAGTGCCACAAAAGGGCAGTAATCCTCCCCACCTGCAAGGCACAGACCATTCTGAATCCCTCAGCCGGCATATTGAGGGACTGAATTTGACAGCTGTCAAACCCAGCTAATGGCCGACACCGCTAACACTGACTCATGGATTTCTGTACTTTGTAGGAATGGAGAAGAGGGAGGGCAGGGAGGAGTTGGTAACTTGTTTCAAAGGGCACACCTTCTTTGACATAACCCATTTATACCACATCACCATAGTACCATAGTTACATTCCTTCTTATAGAAAGGGGGGGAAACAGGCATATGCGAAGAATTCCATGGATCCGGGTGGATCTGTTGTCACAATATTCAGAGCTAGAAAGCCAATCCCCCCTCCCTTTTAAAGATAGTTGTTAGCTGTAGTCTCTAGTCAGGGACTAACTGGGCAAATAGCCTCTTCCAAGAGTGGACGCAGATGTACATGCATGCAGTGGTTTAAGAAATGGTTGTATGATAAGACAGCATTGTCAAACTGTGGCGGTGAATAAATGTCAATAGGTAAACAAATCACATCCAACTTTGCTACTTTTGATTGTTATCTATAATGAGTAATTTAAGGGGATGAGAATTTTATATCTCTCATGGATATATAGTATACCATGATGAAGATATAGACACTTTGGAGCAGTCCCTTATTATATTTGACATATTTTTGCAATCTTGTGATCCCTGATATTTGTTATTTTAGGTAGTGATCGACATACATATTTTTGAGGAATATAGGAGACAATATGTACTTGATCTCTCTCTTTAGGAAAATTTGAATACAACATCCCCAATTTTTGTTCATAAAAATCCTATTTATCAATAGATAATCAATCAATCAATTAGGTGATCAACTTGTTTCCACTGGCCTTGGTGCGTGGGTATGCGCACCTCCGTTTATAGAAGAAGCAAATAAAATCTGCTCCAGACTAACCACTGCAGAACTGCAGATTGGCTACGTGGAGGACACAGCGGTGGAGCACACTGTAGTGAGCTTTACCTTGCAGTCTAAGGTAAGCGTACTTGAACACCACGCTGAAGATACTGAAAACCGCTGGAGAAATAACCTCCGTATTTTTGACCTGCCAGAAGAAGCAGAGGGTGAGTTGCTCCGTTTCCTGTTACCCATCTTTCACCATACTTTGCAGTGGAGAAGGCCCATCGTAAGCCACCACAACTGCGCCCACAGGGGGGCCCCATCTCGCACCTTCATTCTGTGACTTCTAAACTCCAGGGACCGATATTAAATTATTACGTCCACCTGAGGGGCCGGGGAGCTTTCCTACCTCAATGATCATCTGATGCTATTCCCGGACTATACGGTGGAAATCCAGAAGTCTTTAGACTCTGACGAGGCCCTGCAAGCTAAAGGTCTTAAGTACAGTGTGCTATTCCCTGCTAAACTCCGGGGTGATTGATGGTGAGACAGCCTGCTTCTTCACCACTCCTAAAGATGCTGCGGTCTGGCTGGAATCCCTGCCTTTGCAGGGTTGACTATGTTTTTGGTGCTGACTCCAAGTTACCTCAGTGTTTGATACTGGTGACTGTTTTATGTTGCCTACTGGAGACCTATGCCTTGCTTTGCTGTACATGGAGGCTGGGGACACCTTCTGTGAAGAGAGAACAGTGCCTCCTTCATTATACTGGATGCCAGGTCATTTTGACTTTACGCTTTTCCTCCCTGGCGGCCTTTATTATTTATTTTTGCTACAGACTTCCAAGTTAGCACCCCCGAATTTACCCAGGTGCAAAATTGCCTACCACTGTGACTTTACTCTAGCATCTCTGAATGGGACTCTTATGTTGACTGTAAGATTACTTTGCCCATGTGATCCCCAGTGAGGAGTGGTGGAGTGCTGTGGGTCAAAACTCTGGTTACACGATTCCCGGTTCTTGTTGCCATTGAGCTTGTTTGTGGAACATGCTGGGTGGGGTGGGGGGGTTCCAGTTGTTGGTGGTGTTAGGTTGTGCAGGGAGCTGTGGGTGGGGCTGGCCTGCCCTTCGTGCCAGGCCCGCCTTCACCCTCCAGCCACAGAGTTCTAGAGTACACTCTCTCTTATTTCTCCTACTTCCTATAGTCAAGATGGCTAAGTGCCCTATTGTTTCATGAAATGTATGGGGTCTAAACTCCATTTTACACCATTAACAGGTTCCTGGTTTTCAACTTCTGGAAATATTCTCAATATTTTACAGGAGACTCATCTTTTGGGGTCTCGTATACTTGGTCTCAAAAGAGCCTGGGTGGGATCCCATTACCATGCAACATACTCCAGTTACTCCAGAGGGGTGAGTGTTTTGGTGGACAGGTCGCTTCCGTTTCAGCTTCTGGACATTAAAACTGATCCCGGGAGGGGGTCAATACTTGATACTGCATATCTCAATTGCCAATATGATTTATGTACTCCTGGGTTTGTTTTTACCACCCCCAGTTGACACAGCACTACTGTATACACAGTATATGTATATGCAGATGACACTTCACTATGGGAATGATGTGCTTTTGTTGGGGGACTAAAATCTGAGTTTGTACCCGGATCTGGACAGACTCCACCCCAGTTCCCATTGGTCCCCTGGATTGGCACAGTGGGAGTTTACATTCAGTCTGAAGGCTGCTTGGCGTCACTTTCACCCCTCCATTAGGGAGTTTACCTGTCATTCCTCTTCGTTTTGGACACTCTGCCACATAGACCAAACAGTTTGCATTGCAGTGTGATTACTATTCTCATAAGAGGCATCTCAGACCATGCTCCTCTGTTGGTCACACGATCATTGGGCCTGTTAGGTGGTAAGGCGATGTGGAGGCTGTCCAGATATTAGGTCATGGATCAGAAAATCCAGAATGCTATGCTTGAGGGATTTCACACATTGCTGCCACCCGGAGGGCCTCAAAACAATCTCTTGAGGAGTTGGAGGAGGACCTCTGAGAGAAGGCGGCCGCATATGTGGCTAACCTTGATCAAACCAGTTATGAGGTGTGGAAGCTGCCCTGCAGGAAGTTTCACTGCTTTGAGCTGAGTTGACTCAGAAGTCTATGCTTCATACAGCCCAGAGAGTGTTTGCATTTGGTAACAAAAATGGAAAACTGTTGGCCTGGTTGGCTAAGGGACAGTTCTCCATAAGCCTTTTTGGTGGGGTTTGAGAAGCTGATGGGATGCTACTGCAGTCCCCAGACTGCATCAATAGTAGATTCCATCTATACTATCAGTCTTTCCTTCCTTGATTAGATTGACTTCCCCACACTAGTTCATAAAACTAAATTCATGAATAAGGATTATTTATTTGTAAAATTTTATAACAAAAACTAAGCAAAAAATGTTTTTGCTTTTTTTTTTCCTGAAATTTTCGTTTTTTTTTTATTTATATAGCAAAAAATTAATACAGTGATGATTAAATATCACCAGAAGATAACGCTATATGTTTGAAAAAAAATGATAATAGTTTCATATGGACATGCCCACCAGAAATGTAATTTACCACTTGTGTGATTGGCTTACTGATTTTCCCAGAAATCTACAATTTA